ACTTTCCCAGTTGACTTCCAACAAGCAAAGTCAATCTGGGGAAGCCAGATTCATTTAACAACCAGGTTACTAGCTTATCAACTGCAGTGATTCAGTTAACAACTGTGGTAAGAAATGTCGTAAAATAGGGAAAAACTCACTTACCAAATTCTCACTTAACAACATAAATTTGGGGCTCAATTGTGGTCATAAGTCAAGAACTACCATATATCTGAATGAGATTTTTGAGAAGACATCCAACATATGCTTCAAAAATAATGTTTCATTCTCCTGTCTCATTCCATTTCTCAATTAGTGAATACAGTAGTTCAGGAATTCGTATACTGCAGGAAGAATCTTTCTTCTTGGTTCTGCTAAACTGGAAATTAATTACCTTCATCTTTTTACAAACCTGTGTGTAGGTCTTGGTGTGCATCAAATATTTCTTGGAATCTTTGCTGTGCCTGAAAAGCACGAATGGTCCAAAGTCCCTGAAGAGATGATGATAAATGAGAAAAAACTGGGCTTCGAGCTGCAACATAAAGATTAAAAGATGTCAGATTTCGGGCGAACTCTTTCATTATGATGACCTTTAATGGTACTATGAGATATTATCTGAATCAATGTGCAATATTTATCACTGGTATTACAAAAACAGTGAGTGTTTCTCTAAAATTATCCTAAAACTTATTTAAAAATTATTCTAAAATTATTGCCACTCACCTGAGTCACCTGAACTGCAAGACGGGCAGCCAATAAATTTGATAAATAAATAAACAAAACAAAAAAATAAATAATGCAGAAGTTGCAGGGAGGGATACTCAACTGATGTACATACAGCCATTATTAGATTATCTCGCTCTTGAATTGTTATAGTCAGTAACAAAATTCAATCAGAAATATCTCTGTGATTTAGAATGTATTCTACTGACATCTTTCACAGTGAAAAACACAAAGCCGGAGTTTGAATAAAGTGGAATAATGTTGTTCATACCTACTCAACACCAGAAGGCCTAGCACTAATATTCTGAGACAGGTAGCTAGAAATGCTGACTAGCAATGGAAAGCCAGAGTTGTGGCAGGGAAATGGATAATGAAGAAAATGTAGTCTTTATGCTACAGTTATTTTGGAGAATTGAAGTCATTTAGCAATCTATAATATACAGTATTTAAGTAGGTTGCAACTTCCTAGCTTGCCCTCTGCTTCTATTGCAACAAGAGCCGTGGTGGTGCAATGGTTAGAATGCGGCATTGCAGGCTAAATCACTGATTAGTGTCAGACGTTCAATTCTGAACAGCTCAAGGTTGACTCAGCCTTCCATCCTTCTAAGGTTGGCAAAAAGAGGACCCAGATTCTTGGGGGCAATATGTTGACTCAGTAAACCTCTTAGAGAAGGCTGTAAAGCACTATGAAGCAGTACATAAGTCTAAGTGCTATGAGCTAGTTGTAACTCCAAATTATCATATATTTTCATTATTAAGAATAAGGGATGTGTCAATTATAATTCATAGCTGAATTGTTGAAATAAAGAGAAAAGAGAAAGCAGAACAATTTTTTTTAAAAAATCACAGAGAGGCAACTTTTGAGATGCTAAAGTTTTTCCCCCAACCTCCAATGGTCACAGGGCTCATCCACTCTTTTTCGACTTATTCATTTGAGATAAAATTGGTGTTTTAAGTACTGTGAGAGCGGAAAGCATTTCCTTCACTTTTTATTTCAGCAAATGTCTCAATCATTCCTAATGTCAAATTCAGGCAAAGCACATGGGAGGGTGTACTCAGCTGGTGAGAGAAAAAGGCACATAGGTTGTGTCTATTACTGAGAGCAAGAAATTAAGAGTTTTTGGGGTGCTGGAAATGGAACATTTTATACGTGCTGGAAATGGATTTTTATACATGCCTTTAAAGAGCTACAAGAAGGGATGAGCTAAAGGGGTGTTCAAAATTACTACCAAAATACACATATACCCATGTTTCCCTGAAAATAAGATGAGGTCTTATTTTCTTTTGGGCCACAAAATAAGCACTAGGGCTTATTTTTCAAGGTGTTGTGGCTGCGACTCCATGAGCAACCAGATAGAATCGGCTATGCAGGCTCTTAAGTAGGGCTTCTTTTGTGGGTTATGGCTTATATTAGGTACATGCATAAAAACATGATAGGTCTTAATTTTCAGGATAGGTCTTATTTTGGGGAAAAGAGGGGTATGTGCAGGAGGAAAACCAAGTCTGCATGCAGGCAATTTGCAGCAAGGAATGCAACAATCCCCCAAATTGTTAAAATTAAAAACACATACTGGTAGATTCCAAACGTTTGATATCTCTTGATGTATCCAAAAAGTAGCGTCGAAGAAATATGAAAACAATAAGAAGAGGAACCAATGGGATGAGAATCCAGGGTATCACAGCAATCGACACGCCGACCACTCCACAAACCTGAAGAAAGGTCTGCCAGAAGAAAAAGTAAACAGGAACCATCATCAAACATCTTAGTTTTCAAAAGTTCTTCTGAAAACCTTGCGCACAATACTGTACCAAGAGATAGTGATGCTTAGAGCAGACCACAGTCATATAAACGAACATGGTGTTAGGTAAGCTCCCCGTTGAGAGAGCGAGTACATAGCAATAGCAATAGCAATATTGAATAGCATTCAGAGAAGCGTTGTGAGAGTTGTGTTGGAGAATACACAAACCAGCATACAGAGACACTGCAGTTTAAATAGGCTTTTACTTTCGTGGAAATAGGGGTATCAGAGTCCATCAAACAGTCCAAGTCATACACGGATAAGACAGTCAGTCATCAATGTCTTTCAGTTAAGGGATAATCCAAATAACACAGTCCAGTATCATATAATCAGTTCAGTACTCAAAGTTTGCTAGCAGTTGCAAAAACCTACAATAGCTCATGGCACTTTCTAACAGCCAGCTTCCAAAACACTCAGACCAGATCAGTCCAGCATCTAACAAACAGAGAGCTAACAGTCATTCAGGCTCCCTCTTATGGCCGATTGAGGTAAACAGCAACCAATCACATTTTACAATATGATTTAAAGAAACAGGTACAACATTGTTACATGATTTATATATTGCACATGGTATTTGGGGAATATTTTCCAATTATTTCTATGAATGCCCAAAACTCATTTATGGTCCTTCTACAACATGCCCATTGTTCTAATTACACAACAAAAATCAAAGGCACAAGATGTTTGGAAAATCGCAAGTCTCACACTGTATCATTTCTGCCCACCCCCAATCTGCAAGGTAATCATCAGAGGTGGGTTTCTACTGGTTTGGCTGAACTGGTAGTAATTTGGCAGCCTGGGTTGCTGGAACCAGCAGCAACCCATGCTAGCCACGCCCCGAACTGGTTCTCCTACATGGACGCCATCTTGATTTTCGGTTCTGCACATGTGCAGAACAATTTTCATTGCAGAAATGTACTTTCCCCCTCTTTTTTAACATTTTGCGCATGCACAGACCTTTTTAGGTGCAAATGCGCACGCATAGGGAGCACAAAAAATTTTTTCACACTGAACCAGCAGTAATGCTGGCAGCAACCCACCCCTGGTAATGATGTTAATGAACTAATAATTGGCAACGGTTAAGATGGCTGAATGGTACTTTTGGAGGATTAAAAAAAAACAGCAACTAAGTTCCAGAAGCCCACAGCTGAATGCAACATGTGAAATTGCCACCACTTTTTATCAGCCCTGCTTGTCTCCTAATGAGACCATAGAAATCAAACAGAGTCAGAAACACCAAAATTGTTTCCTCCTAAACTAGGTTCCAAATTTTCCAGGCCTCTGTCTTCTGGTCTTAGCTCCATAAAGCTCCCTAGTCTTTTGGTTTCCTTTCAGCCAAGCCCTTTTGTGATTCTGGGGCTTATCTCAACTTTTAGGCACTGTGCTATTTTCTCCTAACTCTTTGCTTTAACATTATCTCTACCACTATTGCCTTTTTCGTGGGGGGGATTCTACCTTTTTAGGGTACTGCTTAATTGATCCTTTTTAAAATATACCCTGCTTTTTACTTGTCCCATGAAATACAAAATGGCTTCATCAAAGCTTTATTTATACACAGACTAAATTTACCACTATGGACCTGCTTGAAGTAAATGAACTAAAGAACAATTTTTCTCTTCGGTTTCAGGATCGTGTTTAGCTACAACCTAAAGAAACAAAATCTCTCAGATGGGAATATTCCTGAGCACAAAACCTTCTCCTGGAAGGAAGATAAAAGAGCGGGGGTATTGTTAGGATGATGAAGTTCTAAGACACCATTGCCTGACACACATCCTATCTTTGGAAGGAATTTTACAGAAGCCTCATTAACATTAAACTTATGAAAGGGTGGGTCATTCTAATATCATGTATATGAAAAACTCAACTTGCATGCAAATAAACTGTTAATGAAATAGTCTCAAAAGGCAGACACCTTATTGCATAGGCAACAACCAAGCCCTGTACAGAAAGAGAAGGCATCTGATTTCCCAACTTATGCAAATTGAACAATATCCTTGGAAAACACATGGCCATTTCATAATGAATTAAACTTTACCTCTCCCTTTTCTTTTAGAGCCGCCTTTCTTTAAACTATCATTATGAGGGCTGCAGTTTCTATACAGAGGGGAATCAAGATGATCTAAAGGATTTAGCATGATGTTCAGAGGGGGGAAAGGAGCTAAAACGGGAGCAGGTAGAGCAGTGTTTCTCAACCTTGGCAACTTGAAGATATCCGGACTTCAACTCCCATAATTCCCCAGCCAGCATTCGCGAATGCTGGCTGGGGAATTCTGGGAGTTGAAGTCCGAACATCTTCAAGTTGCCAAGGTTGAGAAACACTGAGGTAGATGTTTTGGTGGACTGGTGGAATAAGAACAGCTTGGTTCTAAATATAGGAAAAACAAAAGAGATTCAGAAAATACATGCACAGCCATACACCTCTGTGCATTAATGATTTAACTGTGGAGGTGGTTAGTAGTATTGAGTTTCTGGGTTAGCTTGGCCGTTCAACAGTAAGACACTGGTGAAGCTGGCATAGCAGCACCTGCATTTCTGCATCGTACAAGAATAGCATATCTTCCTTCCCCTGTCCTTAACACTTTCTATAGAGGGACGATTGAAAGCATCTGTCGTATTGCATTAGTTTGGTTTGGAAATATTACTGTTTCAGGCAGGAAGGCTGTGCAGAGAGTGGTGAGGACGGCAGGAAAAAAATCTATTGAAAATTCACTCCTTTTATCCAGGGCATGGCATATAAGTGATGCTTGACCAGAGTCCGCAGTATTGTCTGGGATGCTACACATCCTCTCCACGACCGGTTTGCTTTGTTACCTCCTAGGAAGAGGCTTTGCAGCTTCCAAAGCAGAACAACTGGATTCTGTAATAGCTTTGTACCATATAGTATCAACCGTGTTAACATTCAACCTTGTTAACTTTTTGCTATGTATTCAAAATGGACTGTGATATATA